ACAGGCGCAAGCCAGTTGAACAGCCGCTGGCCGAATCACGCTAAATCACAGTCAGCTACTGACGGGCATCCAGAATCAAACGCTGGCAAGACGGGCTTGAGCACCGCCACGTCAGAAGGCCACGGCAGAGGAATTGTCACTTCACATGCGATTGGCCGCCCCATCCTACTACGACCCAGACTGTCACACCGTTCTGGCACTCACCCCTAGAACGTTGCAGGCGCACTGCATCCTGACGATAACGCTCAGCTGACTTCGTTTTGCAATATGCGGGCGCTCCACAGTCAAGTGCGAATTGATGCTCCTGGCTAGTGTGCTTGTTTCCGTGCAACGCTTTCTGCGTGCAGGGCGGAGATAGCTTTAACTGGTCTCGATGACTGATGGTGCACAGGCATTATGGTCAAATATGATCAGTGGTTAGACGCCTCTGGAGCAGTCCTCGGAGATGGGCCTTTGCAGATATCCGGGACACAAAACATCGCAGGCCCAGTTGCCACGGATGTCGATTCGAAGAGCTGTTGGGCTTTCTGCTGCTGTTGGCTGTGTCAAGTTATTTCCGTGGCAACTGCATGCCTCGTGCTATGAGAGGGGTAGTGATTATCCACCCCCTGTCTGCAGCAGGATCAAGGTATAACTGCCCAGAAAGTGTGATGAACGCATTCAACATGAATTAGTCTAGTCCGGGATTTCCCGGATCAGAGAACATGAAAATCACTGAATCGCTCTGCTCGTCATCTTGTTCGATTCGGAATCTTCAACTAAACTGGTGCCAATGATTACTCAAATATGCTGTGAAGCAGCGACCAGTGCAGGCCTTCGTCGTGCATCTTACGAACAAACTTACACATCTCACGCCCAGGAGCCGCCCCTCTTGGCACAGAGCATGCTCCCTGTGAGACACCCGTGAGACATCGCCCGTCACTGCCATGAAGGCAAGACAGTCCTCCGAAGCCCGCTCAGGCGCAGGAGTTGCCGAAGTGCTGGCAGCACCACACCTGGCACCAAACACGCTCGGCTCGCGAGGCTCGCGGCCAAGGTGTTGAGGGCAACGCGCACATCTCGCCTTCTTGGGCTGAGACCACCCGGCGCGCCAGTTGGAGACGCCGGCCTGGGGCACAGCTTCATGAAGGCTCAGTGGCTGAGCTTCAT